GGCGGCCATTGGAGGGTGAACCAACGGCAAAAGGAAGACCTTTCTCTCTTTCTCTCTCACTGTCCACTCTGCCTGTCAAAAAAAAAAAAAAAAAAAAAGTTGCAGGGTTTATCGCACTGTGTTAAACACAATACAGTGGAGTCTGTCTGGGTCTCATCTTTGCAGTCAGCACTTGGGTTAGACACTCAGGAAAAGAAGACAGATCTTGGGAATCACCACCCGTCTGAAAAGGAAATGAGAACAGCTCTCCTACCTTGAACTGTATTACCAACTTTAACCATGGAGGCAGTTCTGATCTAGATTCTTAGACCATGTTGACGATTTTGAAGTTATGTGTTAAGGCCAGCACCGTGGCACTGTGGCATAGCGAGTAAAACCACCGCCTACAGTGCTGGCATCCCACATGGGTGCTGGTTCGAGACCCGCTGCTCCACTTCCAACACAGCTCTCTGCTATGGCCTGGGAAAGCAGTAGAAGGTGGCCCAAGTCCTTGAGCCCTTGCACCCTGTGGGAAGCCCAGAAGAAGCTCCTGACTCCTGGCTTCGGATCGGCGCAGCCCCGCCATTGCAGCCATCTGGGAGCTCTCTCTCTGCCTCTCCTCTCCTAATTCTTTTATATAAATAAATAAATCTTTAAAAAAATTAGTATTTATGTATTTGAAAGGCAGAATGACAGAGAGGGAGAGCCAGATCTTCCATCTGCTGGTTCCCTCTCCAAATGGCCATACAGTTAAGGCTAGCAGGAAGCTGGATCAGAAGTAGAGGAGTTAGAGCTCAAATGGGCACTGATATGGGATGCTGGCGTTGCCATCAAGTGGCGACTTAGCCTGCTGTGCCACAAGGGCAGCTCCTGGATGATGATTCAGGAACACTGCTCAGTGGAGACCAACTCCCAGCAGTGCTCACAGAATCCTAACATTTCAGGGCCATCACTGTGGCATAGCAGGTAAAGCTGCCACCTGCAGTGCTGGTTTGAGTCCCTACTGCTCCTCTTCTGATCTAGCTCTCTGCTGCGGCCTGGGAAGAAGATGGCCCAAGTCTTTGGGCCCCTGCATCCACGTGGGACCCGAAAAAGCTCCTGGCTCCTGGCTCTGGATCGACTCAGCTCCTGCCGTTGTGGCCAATTGGGGAATGAACCAGCGGATGGAACACCTCTCTCTCTCTTTCTCTCTTTCTCTTTTTCCTCTCCTTCTCTGTCTTACTCAGACTTTCAAATAAATAATAAATAAATAAATCTTAAAAAAAAAAAAATCCTGGCCAGCGTCGTGGCTCACTTGGCTAATCCTCCGCCTGCGGCCCTGGCACCCCGGGTTCTAGTCCTGGCTGGGGCACTGGATTCTGTTCCGGTTGCTCCTCTTCCAGTCCTGCTCTCTGCTGTGGCCTGGGAAGGCAGTGGAGGATGGCCCAAGTCCGTGGGCCCTGCACCCCATAGGACCAGAAGCACCTGGCTCCTGCCTTCAAATCAGCCTGGTGCGTGGGCTGCAGCGCGCCGGCAGCAGCGGCCATTGCAGGGTGAACCAACAGCAAAAGGAAGACCTTTCTCTCTGTCTCTCTCTCTCACTGTCCACTCTGCCTGTAAAAAAAAAAAAAGTACGCTTAGCTGCTTATCACACACGCACAACTAGGTTGGATGACAGGTTAATTTGTTTCACTTCAGTAAGCGTTTTACTATATATGTCCACCCCAAACATTATATCAAAAATTTCAAATATGCACCAAAGTTATTAGAAAAAGGAAAACCCGGAGTCCACAGGAATACCTCCAGTTCCAGTGTAACAGCACAAGGGCTCCTCCCTTCCCGGGTCTGTAACTCCATTCTCCCACTGGGACACCTGGCTCCCTCATGCTGCATACACTTAGTTATTGGGTCAGTCACCCTTTACGCTGCTGGCCTCTCATGGAACTTCCGTTCCTCGTCTCCTTGGGCTAGAGGACCGTGGAGGGCTGCAGCCTTGGCCTACCAGCCGTTCTCCCCCCTCGGGTTCTCAGCTTCCTCACCTGCCAGGTCACCAGGTGCACGTGGTCCGACTTCCTTCTGCACACCTGACGTCTCTGGGATTGAATATTTTAGCAAGGAGAAGGGTAGGAGGAAGACTGTAAATTTCTGAATAAGGATTGTGGCCATTATTCATTATTCATGTCTCATTTCTTCAGTTTTATAGAACTGGAATTATCGGATGCAAGAGGGTTTTTTTTTTTTTTTTTTTGACAGGCAGAGTGGATAGTGAGAGAGAGAACAGAGAGAAAGGTCTTCCTTTGCCGTTGGTTCACCCTCCAATGACCGCCGCGGCCGGCACGCTGAGGCCCGCGCACTGCGCTGATCCGAAGCCAGGAACCAGGTACTTATCCTGGTCTCCCATGGGGTGCAGCCCAAGCACTTGGGCCGTCCTCCACTGCACTCCCGGGCCACAGCAGAGAGCTGGCCTGGAAGAGGGGCAACCGGGACAGAATCCGGCGCCCCGACCGGGACTAGAACCCGTGTGACGGCGCCGCAAGGCGGAGGATTAGCCTAGTGAGCCGCGGCGCCGGCCGCAAGAGGGTTTTTAAGGCTCTTTAAAAAATGATCAATCCGCTCTCCAAAACTGCCTGCCGATTTACAGCTTCACAAGCACTGAGTACCCAGCTTCCCGTATTACTACAAAAAACGACGCATAAATACATATGCCAGTTTGTTAGGGGCAAGAATCTGAAAAGTTTTCTGTTCTCGCATGCTGCTTCTCTCCTGCACCAAGAAGGGGTCCTTTTCCCTATTTATTTTATTATTTCCCCTCCATCAACGTGGAGGCCCGGTGGGGCGCCAGTCTCCTCAGGCGAGGAAGGCCCCACGACACCGGGCGCCTTCGAACTCACCTCGCCGCTCGCGGGAGACTCACATCGCTTTCCCAGCGGCTCCCCGTGGAGCCTCACGGCAGCAGAGGGCGCCATGGAGCCCGCGCAGAGCCCCGCCCCCAGGACAGCGCACCGCGTGACGTATTTCCGCGTCATCTGCCTCCGGGCCGTGCTCTCATTGGCTGTCGGCGAGGCGATGGGGCGGAACCGAGCGGGTGTGTGGCCAGCGCCGCAGCCCGGTTCTGGGCAAGGCTTCCCCCTTCTCCGCCCTTCCCCCGCCCTCCAGTCCCTCCCCGGGCGGCTGCGCGGAGCTGCTGGGAGCGCGGCGGCGGCGGCGGCGGCGGCTGCACTTTCGCGGGCTGGGGCCGGCTCGGGGCTCCGGTGCGCTCGCGGCGGGGTTGTCGGAGCCTCAAGGGCTGGCTGGCGGAAGGAGAGAGGGAGGGACTCCCGGGCTGCAGAGCCTCTCCCTCAGCCTGCTCCGCCCGCGCCGGCGGGGCAGCCCCGGGCTCCCTGCGTGCCGAGCCGAGTCCCGGCCGGGTGGGGCGGGGGTGCGCCGACACCGCTGCCGGCCCCTCGGCTCTGAGCGGCCCGCGAGCGGAGCAGCCCCGGTTCCGCGGCCCCGGCCCCGCGCAGCGGACGCAGGGCAGCGCCGAGGGAAGGAAGCGAGAGGGGCCGCCCTCCCCGCCTCCGAAATGCCCAAGAAGAAGCCGACGCCCATCCAGCTGAACCCCGCGCCCGACGGCTCGGCGTGAACGGCACCAGCTCGGCGGAGTGAGTGCGGGGCGGGCGTCGCGTCCGCGTCGGGCCGCGGGGGGCGCCGAGCGGCCGCCGCGAGGCCCGGTGACTAAGCGCTGACGGGGCGCCTGACTCAGTCCGGCTGGCGGCCCCGGCCGCGCGGCTCTTCCCGAGGACCGGGCGCGGGGCCGCCCCCTCCCCCACCGCCGTGATGCTCGGGGTCCCGGCCCGCGAGCCCCCGACGGCCGGCGGGGCGTGGAGCCGGCGCGCGCGAGCCGCGTGCTCACCTGCGTGCCTGACACCTGTGGGGCCGGCGGCTGCGCGGCGCGCGCAGGCGTGTGTCCACGCGGACTTCCCCCGGGCTTTCCCTGGCCGACTTCGGGGGCGCCCGGTCCCTGGCCTGCTTCCTGGGAACCGTCTTGCTCCAGGAAGGCAGCCCTCCTCGTCGTCTTCATTCATTCAACAAACCTTCCCGTCACCCAGGTTACCTGCCCTGGCTTTGCCCCCTGAGCTACATACCCGCGGTGCTGACGCCACACGCAAGCTGCTCCGGATCTGCCCACCAAACACTGAGCACTGATTTCATGAAGTCACCACCAGGCCGTTTCGTGGGGGTTGTACCCCCTCCCTCCCCCGCCGCCCCTTTGCTGGGTGCAGAAATGAACAGGGCAGGCTAGGTTCTTAATCTTTGACCTTAGACACTGGCTGGTGAAGGACCTTCTGCCCTTGGGTCATTTCTGACTGTTCCCTTAGGTTTTCCCAGTCTTGGGGGAGGGAGCTTGGGCCTTGGTGCTGACCCCTGTAGGGGTCACTAGGCCCCACCCTGTGGTGTGAGCCAGTCAGGCTGAGACCCGCCCCCAACAGATGTTCCTGGGAAGGTCTCCCTGGAACAGGTCTGTCTGGCGTGGTGTTGTCTTGTACAGGTCCTTGTAGGTTTGCGTCGCAGAGGCTTGGATGAGTTTTAGTGTTTAGTAAGGGAGCCTGGAATCCCCCCATCCTCCCCCAGCCCGCGGTGGGGGACAAGGGATTCCTCAGTACTGCTCAGGACAAGGTCTGGCCCCTGTGTGTGTCCTGGCCTGATGATCCTTTTCCTACTTGATTTGGAAATACCTGTTGTTCTGCTGTGGGGTAATTGCAATTCCCCAGCGGTATTCTTGCAGAAGGAGAGAATTGCATTTAAAGAACAGAGCGAGATGAGGATAAGAAGAACTAGCCCAGAGATAGTGGCAGAAGAAATTTGGGTGGGACTGGGAGGTGCTGAACAGTGGTTAGTTTAGAAGCTGGGCCGCACAGTCAGGCAAGGTTAGAAGCCTGGCTCTGTCACCTGTGGTTTTGCGACTTGTGACTTTTTTAAAATTTATTTGAAAGGCAGAGTGACACAGAGATCTTCCATCCACTGGTTCTTTCCCCAAATGCCTGCAACAGCCAGAGCTGGGCCAGGCCAAAGCCAGGAGCCAGGAGCTCCATCAAGATCTCCCATGTGGGTGACAGGGTCTCAGTACTTGAGTCAAAACCTGCCTCCTGGGTGCCCCAGCAGAAGCTGGATCAGAAGCAGAGACAAGACTTGATCCCAAGCACTCCCCGTATGGAATGTGGGAATCCCAAGCAGTTTAACCTGCTGCACCACAACCCCATCCTTTGGGATAAGTGTTTCAGTCTTTGTAGGGGTTAGATTTATTTTTTTCAAGATTTATTTATTTGAAAGAGTTAAACATCTTTCATCCGCTGGTTCACTCCCCAATTGACCACACGGCCAGAGCTGCGCTGATCTGAAGCCAGGCCAGGAGCATCTTCTGGGTCTCTGATGTGGGTGCAGGGGTCCAAGGGCCCAGGCTGTCTTCTGCTGCTTTCCCAGGTGCATTACTAGGAAGTAGATCAGAAGTGGAGCAGCCAGGACTTCAGCCGGCGCCCAGATGGGATGCTAGCGTCAGAGGTGGCTGCTTGCCTTTGTATGCCACAGCGTTGGCTTGGCTGTGTGTGTTAAGGCGCTGTTGCTTCTGGACAAACAGCCCTCCCCAGCTCCTCCGTTTCCATGTTTCTGGGTGCACCTCCATGACTATTGGCTGTGTTACCTTAGGAGGCATCTTTGAGTAGGCTGCTTGAGACAAACTGGGCCTGTTCCCCCACATTGCTAGCGCTGATGAGGGGGAGCTGTGCACAGCTTTGCATCTCACCCCTCAGAGTGCTCCTGGGGCCCTGACTTGGGGAGCAAGCAGGAAAACTCTGCTCTCATGATTTCTGTGATGAGACCAGGACATAATTTTGCACATCAGACAGTGTGAACAACAGAAGAAAAAAATGAAGAGCCTCCTTCCGAATCGGCAAGGTTGCTTTTCCCTGGTGCCTGGGGTTATCTCTAATATACTCATGCATGGATTTCAGAACACTCGTTTTGCAGGAAAAGTTTGATCTTTTAGTTTCATTTTCCTTTAATCTTTTGATGTACCCTTGTAAGTTCCCTATTCAGACATGGAGCTGGGCAGTGTGGGGCCTGAAATGTATGCAGTTCTGAAAGTGCTCTTTTAAAGAAAAAGAATACAAACATACATTTTACAAACTTTGCCAAAACACATAAGCTAGGGGCCTATGTGTTACAATGAAATAAATTGGAGCAAGACCATGTCTCTTTTTAAAATGTTTTTCTGGGCAGGTGTTTGGCACAGTAGCCAGGAGCTTGGGATACCTGCATCCCATGTCAGTGTGCTTGGGTTTAAGTCCAGCTCCATTCCAGGTTCCAGCCTCCTGCTCATGTGCACCCTGGGAGGCAGCAGGTGATGGCTCAAGGAGCTGGGTTCCTGCCACCCTTGTGGGAGACCCAGATGGAGTTCTGGGTTCCTGGGTTTGGGGGGTGAACCAGCAAATGGGTCTCTGTGTGTCTGTGTGTCTTTATATTTCCAAGAAATAAAAAAGGAAATTTTTTTACACCAGCATTGTGGCCCAGTGAGTTAAGCCACCGCTTGCAATGCCAGCATCCCATATGAGTGCCACTTCAAGTCCTGGCTGCTGCACTTCCAGTCCAGCTCCCTGCTAATGCACCTGGGAAAACAGCAGGAAATAGAGGAGACCTGGATAGAGTTTCTGGATTCTGGTTTGACCTGGCCCAGCCCTGAACGTTGTGGCCATTTGGGGAGTAAGCCAGTGAATGGAATTGTGTGTGTGTGTGTGTGTGTGTGTGTGTATGTATCCATCTATTTGTAACTCTGCCTTTCAAATAAATAAAATAAACCTGTTTTTTTTTTTTTTTTTTTTTGGACAGGCAGAATGGACAGTGAGAGAGAGAGAGAGAGAGAAAGGTCTTCCTTTGCCGTTGGTTCACCCTCCAATGGCCGCCGCGGCTGGTGCGCTGCAGCCGGTGCACTGCGCTGATCCGATGGCGGAGCCAGGTACTTATCCTGGTCTCCCATTGGGTGCAGGGCCCAAGGACTTGGGCCATCCTCCACTGCACTCCCTGGCCACAGCAGAGAGCTGGACTGGAAGAGGGGCAACCGGACTGAATCCGGCGCCCTGACCGGGACTAGAACCCGGTGTGCTGGCGCCGCAAGGCGGAGGATTAGCCTAGTGAGCCGAGGCACCAGCCAATAAACCTGTTTTTAAAAAGATTTGTAGTTAAACTAAAATCCCAACTCCTTAGATTGAGCTCTGAGACCCTGAGTGCTCTGCCTGCCATGACACCTCTGCCCCCTTCATTAACCTCATTTCCTCTCCTCCTCTCTTCCTCCACACTGGTCCTCTTTCACTTCCTCCTTGGGTGGTCCTTACTCCCTTCAGGTCCTTGCACACCTCTGGGATGAGTCATCCCTTCTTTCCCCTGGTTAGGGAAGAAGCAGCCTTGGCTCCTTTGCTTAGTCATTCCTCAGAAGTGCTCACTGACCCCTCACCCACGGTAAAGCCCTGTCTCTCCCTCACCTGATCTCTCTCTCTCTCTCTCTCTCTCTCCTTTTTTCAGATTATTTATTTGAAAGGTAGAGTTAGAGAGAGAGAGGTCTTCCATCTGCTGATTCATTCCCCAGATGGCTGCAGGAGCCAGGAGCTTCCTGGTCTCCCATGTGGATTCAGGGACTCAAGCACTTGGGCCATTTTCTGTTGCTTTCACAGGCACATTAGCAGGGAGCTAGATTGGAAGTAGAGCAGCTGGGACTCACACCTGCCCCCATGTGAGATGCTGGCGCTGCTGGTGGTGACTTTACCTTCTGTGCTGGTACTGTTATTATCCGTCTCTCTTGCACTTCGTGCACTTTAAGCCTATGACTACCTTTCTTTTGGTTTGCTTTTTTTTTTTTTTTTTTTTTTAAAGATTTATTTATTTGAAAGGCAGAGTTACAGAGAGGCAGAGGCAGGGAGATATCTTCCATCCGCTGGTTCACTCCCTAAATGGCCACAACGGCCAGAGCTGGGCTGATCTGAAGCCAAGAGCCACGAGCTTCATATGGGTCTCCCATGGGGGTGGCAGGGGCCTAAACACTAAGGCCACCTTTTACTGCTTTCCCAGGCCATAGCAAGGAACTGGATCAGATGGAGCAGCCAGGACTTGAACTGGTGCCCATAGGGATGCTGGCACGGTAGGCTGTAGCTTCACACGCTACGCCACAGTGCTGGCCCCTGGCTCACTGTTTTATAAAAGCACCTAGAATAGTACCTGGCATGTAGTAGACACACAGATATTTGTTGAATTAATCAGTGGTTGGATGACATTTCTAATTGTACAGTGTGTTTAATGAAACTTTCTGTGGTTTTTTGTCGTTTTTGTATTTTCCCCTTTGCTGTATTACCCTTTCTTCTGCAGGCACCCACTCACCTGCTCTAGGGTCTTAGTATGTGGCTTTGTAGTGCAGCCCTTTGGTGTGTGAACCCCTGGCGGGGAGCTATCCTTGCTTCATGTGTTGCTGTGCTTAGGGTACTGAGCGCTGTAAACTAGGTTAAGTTGAGGTAGTGACCAGCCACCAGATTTCAGGGGTTCCCTGCTTCCAGCGCAGCAGGGTGTCTTGGAGGTTGGAGTCCTGCAGAGACAGGCAGGAGTCGCAGGGTTGGATGCTTGC